CAGGTCTACATCATCAACCCATAACTCCTTAATGGTGACTTTTGTTTTTTTTTTTTTTTTTTTTTCTTTTCTTTTTTTTTTTTTTTTTTTTTTTTTTTGTCTTTTCTTTGTCTTTTCTTTCCGTTTCCAGTCAACTTGGGTCTATCTAGAAATCGAATCGAATCGAACTTGGGTCTCTCTTTTTATCTATCTATTGGTACTACACCTTGGGGAAAGTCGTAGCAGGGCGCCGTCGACGATTGACGATTCAAGCATTTTTTTTTGTTTTTTTGTTTTTTTTTTTTGCTTTTATTTTGTTTTTTGCATGTTTAATTAAGAGAAAAAATTCCAAATTTGGAAGTTTTTTTTTTTTTTTAACTTGTTTCGTAGTGGAGCACGACAGAAGGGAAAGTGGGATAGGTTCGGGTTCGAGTTTCGAATCTTTTCTTTGGGTTTCGAAGTTGGGTCTATCTAAAATCTCTAGAATCGAATCGAAGTTGGGTCCCTCTTTTCTTTCTATAAATCTATGGGCATTATATATAATATAACAATAGATTTCGAATTAAGAACTTTGGATTCGAGCTTGCGTCTATGCGGGTGGGTATAGGTGCGTATACTTGGGGGGAAGTGGGTATATACACCTGGGGTTAAGTTGTAGCGGAGGCCCCTCGACTCCACGACAGAAGGGAGAGTGGGATAGGTTCGGGTTTCCAATCTTTTGTTTGGGTTTTGAACTTGGGTCTATCTAGAGTTTTCTAAAAAAGAAAAAAAAAAAAAATAAATAAAAAATCTCGAATCAAATCGAGCTTGGGTCTATATTATTAATTAAAATATAAAATAAATTTATATTTGGGTGAAGTTCGTAGTGGGGCGCTGTTGTCGTCGACGACTCAATTGTGACCTCGGTAAGTAGGATGGGATTGGGTAAGTGGGAAAGTGGGATGGGATTTTACCCGTGCAGATAGTCTTCTTTTTTGCGTGGCGGTTCCAGATGGGGGCTTTTGTTTTTACTGCGGTAGATAGTCGTTGAGAGTTGACCACATGATTGATGACATGACTGTTTTTTGTGTTGCGCTTCAAATTTTTTTTTTTTTCCATTTGAATTTTTTTTTTTTCACCCCCCGAAAAAAACATCCCTTCGACGACAAGAAGTCGACTCTCAAACACACTGACCACTTATCACCGACTGCTGGACTACGTTCCGAATCTAGTCCATTCGAATCCAATCTAGATTAATGTCCCGATGATGAATCCAGTCCAGTGTATTTCCATCCAGATCCATATCATAGATAGAGTAGAAATAAATATAAAGAAATTAATTAGAATTTCCCTACGACGGTTCATGTCAATGTCAAATGTCAATCGCCATAGTCGCAAGCTCGTCGTCTGCTTGAATCGATAGTCATTTACTAACGCCCAAAAAAATTCCATCGCCGCTACAACTCCTCTGCCCTAGTTGTGCCACCGCGCCTCGCGAGGTCTACAGTGCAATTGCCGACACAAGATGCGTGATAGGTGAACATGTGACGGCATCCTCACCCTAGAATTTGCGGAACCTGAATGGATGTGGAAGGCTTCAGGGCCCAGTTCACGCATGACCTGTGTTTTCTTTGGGTTTATTCATATTTTTCTCTTATTCTATTTTATTGCTTTTCTTTTCTTTTTTCGTTTCCGTTTTCCTTTAAATTCTATGGGCGAAAGTTTTTTCGGGCCTAGAAGCTGAGTGAACTTGGTCAAATACCAGGGAAGGTGAGCCTGGTAATTTTCCGATGTCACGGTAAGTAACTCGATGGGAAGGGTGCACTGTGTGCCCTGAATGTTCGAGCACAGTGTAGGGGTAAAACATATTTAAAGACGTAGCTTGTAGAGTTCATCCTCAACTTGAGTGGCGTATGAGTAGAAGGGTTGAGATTCCTTGATTATGTACTTCAAGGATTGTGGTGAGGAGGTGATGGCGCCATGATAATAAAACTCACGTCATGTTCTTCAGTTATTTTTCCATTGTGTGAATTTTCTCTAATGGTACACGGTCTCAGATTCGCCCTTGCCGCGGCTTGGGAACGAGCCTGAGGTGCCGAATCTCGCTTGGGAGATCGTGCATTAATCATGCTATTAATCTATTGATCTGTGTCATCGATGTATTATTGATGACTTATTGATTATGTTATGGAGGTTTATTCAGCTTTTATTGGGCTTTTATGGTTGGATATTGGATTTTCTCTGATTGGACCGAATTGTAATCCAAGTATTATGTTTCGTCAGCGGAGTTTCGACACTGTTCAGATGGTTTCTCATCACACGCTCTCGGTGAGGGTTTTCGGATTGGCACGCTGGTGGTGAGACATCGTCCCGAAGCTCTAAAGTAGATCGTAGGATCTGGAAGTATAAAGCGGCGGACTTATTTGTTGACACAAAGAGTCGAGAGTTTAAGTGGGTTGGTGTTGTTGGGTTGGGCGGCGTCGTGCTTGCGTTATCTACACTGGGGCGTATATACAACCGTAATAGAAGCGGTAGAGGGGGAAGCCGGTGTGGAAGGTGGTCCAATTGCGGCCGCTATTGGACAAACATGAACGAAAATAGTGGGGGAGGGCAACAGATCCAGAACCAAGGTGCAGGGCATATAATCATGCCCCTCCGAGCGTCTATGTACCAAATGCCACCGGGCAGCCTCAGATGATGCTGAATCAACCGATGATGTTGGCAATGCCTGTTGTACCAGCGAGTTCGGGAATGCCAAGCGTGCCAAATGCACTATCGACACCTCAATATCAAGCTCAGCAGCCTGCTACCCAATGGGGTATGCAGGGCTGGCTAGTGAGTCATCCATGGCCAGTTGCGGCTCCATGGGTTGTGCCGCCGGTGCCAATTCCGTCGGTTGCGTCAACCATACCACCGACTGCTCTACCTCCAAACCAGGTTTCGGTGCAGTTGATGAACAATCAGCACTCCAGCAATCAGCTGGGACACGGGCAAGCATCGAATGCAGGGGATAACCGATCGTCGAACTCGGGGAAGGGACCGGCGGCGAATGCGTTTCCTGACCCTGGGAACAGGGCTTACTATACCAAGGAATATATGGACATATTGGAGGATATTAAGTCCAATAAGGCACTTGATGATGCCAAGAAGAGAATAAGATTAGTCGGCAGAGCAGTGGGATCCGAATTTCGGACAACACGGATGAGAGTTGCCGGTCGGAGGTCCAGTTAAGCGAAAAGAGTGATGAAATGAAGGCCTGGGCGACCTCAACTCTCGACAACTCTCTCAAGCTTATAACTCAAAGGCTCGAAGAAGTCGACTCCAAATCCAAGACTGCAACGGCTGAGAAGGAGGAACTTATGCAGTTGCGAGCGGAAAAAGTCGCCCGTGAGAAGGTCACGCCTTAAGCCAACGACAGCCAGGATTATTACTCACAGCGGCATTCTTGTGTCTACCCTTAACCAAGCGTTTCAGGATCCTTAATAGGTCTGGTTCTTGCTGCACTTCTACCATAGGATAGTCAAAAAACACAGGTTCACGACAAACGGTCACAGGTTGTCTGAGGGCGTCGATCTTTTTCCCCCGACATCTTCGAACCTTCTTCCTACGGGTACGACCCTTCACGTTCAGACCCGGATTATGGCTCTTAATAATCTTGAGTTCCATACCCTCAACAGCCAGTTTCTCCCTAAACCAGATCGGAATAGGTACATAATGCTTAACACCAACCTTACAGAGCCAACCATCTTGCTGCTTACTAATGCCTTTGATCGCTCGACAACGCTCAGTCC